CTACATCAGAATTGTCGTAAACGAAATTGCTCCAGTCTTCAACTGATGCTGTCGAGTTTGATTCTGAAACGGATACACGTTGAGTTGCTTGAGGTGATTGTTGTGGAAACTGCGGTTGAACGGTTTGCTGCTTCTGTTGTTGTGTCTGCTGCTGACGCAGAGCTGTGAGCTGGGAACCCTGGGAGACATAGGAAGGGCCAAAGCTAAACCCTGTCAATAACATTAGCGCAAGTTTCTGCTCAACAAAATATTTGCTGAATTCAATGGATCTACGGACCATGTCTCTATCTATCAAAAAGTCCCACTGGAACTTTGTACCCTTCTGATCAGATAAATGTTTCGTATATTCGCATGCGTTCAGCAGGGCTTTAAGTACACCGGATACCCTTACAATCTGTCCCAATGATTTTTCTATTATACTTCTTCTCTTTTCATCATTCTCTAGCTGTGACATAATGCTTGTCCATTCTTCATCGTGGCAGCGTGTGAGCTCTTTCCATGCTTCTTCTGTAAACGTGTACTCTGTCGGTTGCTGGTGAAAATTGTAAAGGGTCTGCAGGACGGACTTGATAGATGGTGTATCAGGACTCATAGGTATGGACTTCCAGATCGTTGAAAAGTTGGGACTGGATGCACATGCTACCAGGTATCTGCTACATAACCAAGAGGGGTTGTTCAAATGCAACTTCACAATGTACTCAGGTGTTACCATTCCTGTGTGAGTAAAGCAAGTTGACTCTACATTTGGGATTTCGCCATCATCAACGCCAAGGAAGGGCAAACCATCATACAAGGATAACATTTGCGTCTTTGTCGGTGAGGCACTGATTCCCAAAAGTTTATGATATGCCTCCAGGTCCTCGCATACAGAGATGATCTGACCCCCAGTTTTCTTCAGCACCTGGATCAAGTCCGCCAGTCCCATTGGTCCTGATAGCAGTTTATGGGACCGGGCAGCAGAAGGGTCCATGTTGGGAAGGTGACAGTATTTTTCCTGTTCCTTCTGTATCTCTAACAGGGGAATCATTATCTGTTTCAGAGCAGCAGTCTTCCGTGTCCCGGGGGTGGCCCCTACCATCGTCCACAGAATTGGGGGTTCTTGCCAAACCTGGTTTACTTTTATCTTACTCATGCTTCCCATCAGACCTGAAATAAAACGTGTTGTAACCATACGTCACTATAAGAATGTTATAAAAACTAACTTTAAAAAAAAACAACAATGACATTTCATGGGTTATAATGTCATGTTGTAAAAGGTTAGATTCCAATCAAGTTTTCCGTCATTTAATCAAGAAATATTTTATTCATGAGTGGACAAATGACACCTTTTATCTATACAGACATGTTATCCGATGATAAACACACACGATTGCATCAAAAGACCGTCTACTGAGGACAAAGTGTGATGGGGCTAAACGAGGTTAACCTGCAACGACCTGCATAGGATGGTAGTGATGACCCTATCCACTGCACCTATTCACCCGCAGAAAACACGCGAATTATGTTACAAGACCGGGTCATCAATGTCACTGAGAGTATATTTCGCTTGCACAAGCACTCGTCTAATTATTTGTATAATTCTCTGGGTTTAACGACAATTTTCAACACATGACTGGATACACATGGCAGCCACAATATATTTTGATGATTGTAGAAGCCGGAAAAGCCTTCGACTCATCCCACGCAGAGATGAGAAGCGTCATTAATCCATAAATAACTCGGCCAACTGAGGTTCCGGTTGTATGATAAAAATACCAAAATAAAATTTCTTAAACATTAAATTTTTCAAGTGTAAACTATTTACGTCAAAGTTCTTATAATTCAATTAAAATGTGCTCGATTGTTCTACATATGCCCTGTATTGTACATTTTGAAAATTGTACGGGACGTCAAGTTGCACAAGACAATGATTATCAATGTCTGCAAACATTTCTGTATCGCGATATCCACCCTACAAACATCATGTGGTTTTTTTTTTTTTTTTATAGTATTGCGATGGCCAAGTGTTCCGTGTTCAGATGACCCATTTATCGAGACCATGTTTCCAAATGGAACTTGTCCCCTCCCACTTTCAAGAAAATGACTTCTTTTAGAATACCTGTATTATATATATATATATATATATATATATATATATATATATATATATATATATATATATATATATATATATATATATATATATATATATGTGTGTGTGTGTGTGTGTGTGTGTATTTGCAAGCGTACTAATGTGGGCGTGTACGTATCTTCTAAAACAATCATTGACATGTGAATGTGCCTATCTCTGTATGTGTAACATATGATATAAATATAAAACGTAATGAGAGAATGGTTCGAACAAAATCAACAAAATTCGCACTAAAGATTCCATTTACAGTTTGTCACCTGGGGTTTCCAACCAATACTAACTAATGAACCAACTAACCAAATAATTAGCAACCCAACTACTTAAACGAAAATAAATAAATAATATATTCTAGATAATATGTACCCCTCCAGCCTGTTTTAATACTAGGAGAGACAGACAGACAGTGTAAGGGGGGGGGGTCCCACGTCCCAACCTCCACTCCTTGGGGATAGATCGAAAGTCTGAAACCGATGTGCACAAATACTGACCGCCAGGTGAGTAAACCAATTTGTGAAAGTCAAGAAATTGCTAGACTGCGAATGAATCAAGAGATATCCATATAATAAAGATAAAATCGATAGACAAATTACTCGTTTTCATTAAATATTTAAATTTTAATTAAATAATTCCTCAAAGAAAAAATATATTTAAATCATTGTTGCATATTATTGAATATTAGAAACAGTATTGCCACACACACACACACACACACACACACACATAACAAAGACAACTCATACACGTTATAACTCGGGCTTTACATCCTACATGTAGATAGTAGATGTCATTTGGTGTAACGTCACAGGTACATATTTATCTTATGTTCATCTCAGCATTCACTCACCTGCAGTAACAGATAATAGCGGCAGAATGATGTACTCATCGGGACACCCAATAGCCCTAGCATGATTCGTCACTAGCTTTTGTATGGAAGCCCCACATACTAAGCCGAGATCGGGAAGTTTCATTAGCTGGGCTGTCTTGTAGCTCTCTTGCCAGCCAAGTTGCTGATTATTATTGTCACTTGCTTGTCCAAATCCATTCATTGTCGCTTGTTAATGTATCATATATTTTAAACGATAGGTCACATTCCGCAAGATTTTTGATAAAGTTTCTCAGCTCGACAATATGTCTGCCAATCTGGCTTATAGTCACGCTACTTGTTAACTAGGCTAGGCTAGGCATTTGTTACTTCTATTTTTAGTTCGCAACTGCTCGACAAGGCCCCAAGCTGTCTATCAACACTACAATCTATAGTGTGTTTCATACTTGTAACGGAGCTACATTTTAACAGAACAGTATAGTTTGTTAATTTCCTAACACAATTTTTTTTTATAACTATTAATTAATAATACGTATCCAGCCACAGCCGTCTCATTTAATGCTGAATTTAATGGGAGTATGAAAGATATTTAAAAAGCGTTTCCGATGACCTTTCCCACCACGTGTATGTGAACTTATCTCCTCTCATTGTCGATATATAAACACAGGGTGGGGAAAAGTAGGAGAAAACTCGGATTAGCGATATTGAGAGATTTTTAGATTTTTCAATGCAATAAACGAAAACTATTTGCTGTAGTGCCATAAGGGGTACATAAAGTTATTAGATGGACGAGATAGCATCTGCTTTTATAAGTCATCCAAGAAAAAGAAGAAATTACAATGAAATGTTGACTACCAGTATATATTAATTTTTATATTATCTTTCCTCTGTATGATCATATAGCTAACCATTTCTTAAAAGTGCTGTTAAAACCGACAACCCCCCCTTCCTATATTGAACGTTTTAACATATATGACAACATAACACATGTGGAGCAAACTAGTAGATGTAACTGCATTGTCATTACTTTCGATAGATCTCAATGATTCAGAAAACAATGTAGTATTGTTTCGGGTTTACACTGAAGAAAAGTAAACGCATTGTGTGTGTCTGAATGCATTAATTGTATTTCATGCAAGATTCAGTTGTGAATTTCCAGGTTGGGTGGGGTGGTGGTGGTGTTATCGGCAACACCGTTATACCAATTCCAGGCAATAAAACTAGAATTTAAAGACAGAGGGCATGAGGTCTACAATATCCACAATTAATCTAAAATTTCATTGTTGGCACTAGGGCCATCAATATGCTTAATCTGCCATCCCAAAAGCCCCCTCCCATCAACCTAAGGCCTCTTACCCCCATTCACTCGCCACCCCAACATAACCTCCCATCAATCTAAGGCATCCTACCCCCGTTCACTCGCCACCCCAACATCCCCTCCCATCAATCTAAGGTCTCCTACCCCCATTCACTCGCCATCCCAACGGCCCCTCCTATCAATCTAATGCCTCTTACCCCCATTTACTCGCCATCCCAAAAGCCCCCTCCAATCAATCTTAGGCCTCCTACCCCCATTCACTCTAATAGATCCAACCCTTTTATGAACGAATCAGCCACTTGCTATTCATGTCCATTTTTCGAAAAATCTATTATGTAGATTAATAGAAATACGTACAGAGCTTTTCTTATATTTATTTAATAGCTTATTAATCGATTACATCATGCATAAAACCATTGTGCTGCAACGAATTAGAAGATTTTAAATATATGGGGGAGGAGTTAAGGGTCTAAAATATATGTGCAACAGTTCTGTTTACAGCAAATAAACCTGTTTTCCGCACACGGCCTACATAATTTCAGTCATTTTTCCTTTCGTTATTATGTTTATTCAGTTTGTTTTCCAAGAAACGCACCCCTCCTCACTAATCTGTGTATAGTAGTAACAATGCGGCATCTTTCATCAGTCTTTATATTTTATTTCGCCATTATCACAATTAGAATAAATACACATTCAATGTACGCATGATTTAAATATAAATGGGGACCGCTCAGGTGGCCTAGTGGTTAGAGCGTCCGCCTCGGATGCCGGAGGTTATAGGTTCTATCCCTTGTTGAATCATACCAAAGACTTACAAAAGTAATGCTAACAGCTGTCTCGCTTGGCGCTCAGCATTAAGAGGTTAGTGTCAGGACTGGTCGGCCTTGTGTCAGAATAATGTAAAGGGGTGTGACATCATGTGAGTTCGAAACCCGGATGAGTCGTAGCAAATATTTCTAAATATGGTACTAATAGCTGCCTCAGCAATATGAGGTTAATGTTAGGACTGTTCGGTCTGGTGTCAGGATAATGTGACTGGGTACGGTATGATGCTACATGTCCGTGGCAGGATGCCCGAGTGCAAGACATCGCTATAAACTGCCACACTGCAGACATCGTAGCGACATGACTGAAAAATTGTTAAAGCTACGTTAAAAATCATAATTACATCACATTTAAATAAAGTTAATATGGTTTGAAAAAATATTGCTTTGAATTTAGCGTGCGTGCGTTTGTGTGTGTGTGATTTGGATTTTTAACGTAGCTTTAACAATTTTTCAGTCATATATCTACGATGTCTGCAGTGTGGCAGTTTTTAGCGATGTCTTGCACTGGGCAATGCATGCTGCCTTGCGCCCCGCTACTCATAGGGCCTGGCCTCTCTGTCCTTTCGATAAACATGTATAAAAAAAATTCAGCTAAAAATTTTAATTTTTTAATAACATGAACACCCGTTGCAGCTCAAATAGTGCGTCAGCCTTGAATGCGGAAGGTCATGGGTTTGATCCCAGGCCGAGTCATGCCAAAGACATAAAGATGATACTAACAGCTTCCTCGCTTGGAGTTAAACATTAAGAGGTGTGTGCTAGGATTGATCGACCTGGTTTCAGGATAATGTGACTGGGTGGGATATCATGCTACATGTCATCGGCATGATGTCCCAGTACTAGACATTACAAAAAACTGCCACATTACAGATACGGTAAGACTGAAAAATTGTTAAAGCTACGATCTCTCTCTCTCTCTCTCTCTCTCTCTCTCTCTCTCTCTCTCTCTCTCTCTCTCTCTCTCTCTCTCTCTCTCTCTCTCTCTCTCTCTCTCTCACACACACACACACACACACACACGCATACACACACACGCACGCGCACGCAATTGCATTTAATTTGGTAACGAACAAAAAAATACATGAAGCAAAATTACCCTTTGTCACACAAAAAGTGATTGAAAACGGTCAGGTGAATTGATGGTAGCGTGGTTAGTCACCATCGACGGTTGAATAAATGCGAGAATGTCTAAAGCAAGTATGGCCTTAATCATGATAAGTGAAAATGTATGGGAGCGCAGAGAGACAAGTCTACACACTAAACTGAATGTCCACAAATCCTTTGTTTCCGACCCTTTTGTAAGCTTACGAAACATGCAGAATATACAAACTCCATGCAAAGATAGTGAACAATTTTCACATGGGTAGCATAGAAAATCTGATGAGGACAAGATGGCATGACAGTACCGAGAGATGAATGTCTCGCACGGAAATACCACCCTCTGCTGATGAAATCACAGTTGAGATGGGCAGGCCATGTCACTGGGAATTTCAGAAGAGCGACAACCATGGATCTTCTGCGGTGAGCTGAAGAGGATGGCGAAAAGAAACGCTTTAAAGATTCCCTCAAAAGGGGTGCTGAGAAAAATGGGATTGGCAGCAAAGGCCTCCTACTGCTGAAAACTTGTGCAACGCACGAACTGCTCATCACTAACTCTGTAATTCCCCTACCACTTCACAACAAGACGTCATGGATGAACCCACGCTTCAAGCACTGGCATCTGCTCGACTACGTATTAGTGCGACAGAAAGACAGGCAGGAAATCAGAGTGACGAAGGCTATGTGTGGAGCAGAGAACTGGACTAACCACAGTCTGATCATCTCTAAACTTGACATCAGAATACACCCTCATATATGTCCTCTAGGAAACAAGATGCTGAAGCGACTGAACGTCTCGGAGCTGAAAAACAATTCAATGAAGCAGTCCTTTTCAGACGAACTAGACAACAAGCTGAAAGTCATCACTCAAGGCTCGCATGATGTAGAGTTCGATTAAGCGTCCCTTCGAGATGTTGTCTACTCCACCGCCGCCGATGTGGTAGGCCCTACCACGCGTGAGCACCAGGACTGGTTCGATGATAACGATGATCTCATTCAAGAACTGCTCGACTGCAGGACACATAGCTGAACAAGGTGCTGGACGAGATCCAGTCGTATGCAGACCGCAATGACATGAAGAGGTTCTACGAGGCGCTCAATACAATCTACGGTCCCACTAAATCAGGATTTCCCCTTCTCCTCAGTTCAGAAGGGAACACGCTGGTCACTGATAAGAAAGATATTCTTAAGCGCTGGGCAGAACACTTCGAAAGTTTCCTCAACCGTCCTTCCGCTGTTAAAGCTGCAGACATTGCTCGTCTAACCCAGGTCTCAACCAAAGCCAACTTCACGGATTCACCAAAATTCAAAGAAGTAGAGAAGTCAATTTAAAGTCTATGCAGTGGTAAAGCTCCGGTTTCTGACTCCATCACAGCGGAAGTCTACGTAACTGATGGTCCCCGACTGACGCAGAAGCTTTCTTACCTCTTCCAGTCTGTATGGAGCCAGGAGAAGAATTTGCAGGAGTTTAAAGACGTCTCTATTGTCCACATCTACAAACGGAGGGGACACCGGCAAGCATGTGGCAAAACCATGTCATCTCCCTATTGCATGAAAGATACAGGCCAGAATTCTGCTGAATCGACTGAACGTCCACTTCGTGCAAGGCTTGCAACCAGAGAGTCTATGCGGTTGAAGACAGGATTGGGGCACCGTGGGCATGATCTTCGCAGCCAGGCAACTCCAGGAGAAATGCCAAGAGCAGAACGTCAGCCTCTACACCACTTTTGAGGACCTCACTAAAGCTTATGACACTGTGAGTCGTGAAGGTCTGTGGAGGAACATAACACAGTTCGGATGCCCTGAGAAGTTCATCACCATGGCCAGACTATTCCACAATGACATGCTCGCCAGAGTACAGGATGATGGAGAGTTCTCCCTTCCCTTTCCAGTGACAAACGGTATCAAGCAGGGCTGCGTTCTTGCCCCGACAATCCTCAGCATAATGTTCACAGCGATGCTGACCGACGCTTTTCGTGAGGGTGACGATGGCATCAACATCCGGTTTAGGATTGATGGGGACATCTTCAACCTGAAAAGACTGCAGGCGAAGAACTAAGACAGAAGTCCAGGAAGACACCATCTGCGACTTCCTTTTTGCTGACGACTGCGCTTTAAACGCTTCAAGTGAGGAATTTTAGTTATTCATATATTGGACTACATCTGACGTCATCCTCCTCCATATTCATACGTCGTCGGGATTCGAACCTGGATTCTTATAGGACTATTTAGTGATATGACTTGTGTTTTTATCCTTAGAATAATATTTGGATTATATTCACAGGTTGTAAGTCCTTTTTACAAATCTTTACATTGTTGTGTAGGGAAATATATTGTTTTGTTGAAATATAAAAAGCTCGTTGTCTTTCACTCTTTTCTTTGTTACTGAATATGAGCCCTAGTCACGTAACGAAAAAAAATGGGGGGCTCGTCTGAGATATATGAATTTTGGTTAAATATTTCTGAAATTTTTCTTTTTAAAAATTTAAATTTCCCCTAGTTTCTAAATTCAAAGTACTATTTTACATTTTATTAATCTTAAGTGAAAACAACAGGCTTCCATTTACAATGTCATCAAATGTGGAATATTTTCTTTCTAATCCAACTGAACGGCAGTTGGATAGTCTTAAGAAAGATGAGTTGCTTGAACTTGCCAGAAAGTACGATCTTTCTGAAGCACAATCGTCCTTAACGAAAAGAGATATTAAAAATATTTTGAATTATATTTGGTGGTGAAAACTGTTTTTGATAAAAGTGTTTTGGCATCAGTCGGTAAGTCTATGACAGACACTGACATTAAAGTAATGGAAATGAAAATGAAAATGGAAGTATAGTTAAGGAGGCTTGAGCTTCAAGAAAAAGAGAAACAAATGCAGTTGCAAGAGAAACAGTTGCAGTTGCAATTTCAAAAATATGAGAGAGAGACAAAGATAGAGACACGAGAGGGAGAAAGATAAACAATTACAATTTGAAAAAGAGAGAGAGAGAGAGAGAGAGAGAGAGAGAGAGAGAGAGAGAGAGAGAGAGAGAGAGAGAGAGAGAGAGAGAGAGAGAGAGAGAGGGATGAAAAGGAATTTCAACTTAGAACGAAAGAATTAGAGCTGGCAAATGTTAAGCACGGTTCCACTTCACATACATATTCAAGTTTTGATATTGCAAAAAATATTAGGGCAGTTTCCCTTTTAGAGAAAAGAAGTAGACAAATATTTTCCTCTTTTTAACAAAGCTGCATAAAATTTGAAATGGCCAAGGAGTATTGGACTCAGCTACTACAGTGTATACTAGTTGGTAAAGCTAGTGATATTTACCATTCCTTGTCAGAACAACAGAGTTTGGATTATGATATGGTTAAGGAGTGCATATTAAGGGTTATGCGTTAGTCCATGAGGCTTATCGTTAAAAATTCAGAAACTATAAAAAGAATCTGGGCAGACATATGTTGAATTTGCTTGAGAAAAAGAACAGTTATTTAAGAGATAGTGCTCAGCCAAGAAGGTAGAACATGATTATGAAAGTCTCGAACAACGTGTGTTGCTTGAAGAATTCAAAAACTGTGTTCCTAATGACATTAAGAGCATAAGATTGAAACCTTGGAAAATGCTGATCTTGCTGCCGATGAGTACTCCTTAACTCATAAAGTTCCTGATGTAAACAAAACATTCACTCAGCAGTCTACTGTTAGAAAGCTATTTCAGCCTAATATGACTCTCACTAAAAATTAATCCGGCACAAATTCTAAAATTCAAGCCTGAGAGACTTGATTCAAAATCATTGTCTCTACCTATGTGTACCTATTGTAAGAAAAAAAAGAACACGTCATTTCTGAATGCTTCAAATTGAAATATAGGCATCATAATCAAGATAGACCTATTCCAA